TTAGCTATATTTTTTTTTTCCACATTGGCGTCTTCCAATATCTCAATCTAATTTTTAGAATATTTTACCATTTCACAATAATTTTTTTTTTAAATACATCACCATTTACTATTTAAACTAAAAATTAATAGTATTTAAATGTTGTGACTGCAATGTTCACTCAATATTTATGACCAATATTAATTCACACTATAAAGTTATTATTCTTTAAGGCATGACAAGCATGGTATAATCATTTTATCTCTACATATGCATTTCAATATTAAATAGGAAAGTCTACAAAGAAACCATTTATCTTTTGTGAATGGATGTCACAATCATTCTCAAATATTAGATGTCAAATTAGATGGCTTGAGGTGAGTCACAAAGTGAATTTTTTTTGGAAAATTTTGCATTTATTCAATGACACTAGTACAACCACCCATTTTGAAATTTAAAGGACAAGAATGATTGTGTGTACAAAAGATAAATGGTCTCTTTGTAGACAATTCTATATTAAATCGCTATCTCCAATGAGAGTAATGTAAGAGCAAATTTAAGGTGCAATGTCTATATTAAATCGTGTAATCTAACTGCAATGTATTTCCCATGTTGCATCTAAATACTACCCAAACAATAACAATCCATTTGCATGTAATGTATTACGCAAGTAATATATTTCACAGATAATATATTTTCAGGTATCCCCATAATGTACTCAACATTTTTTTATACTCATTGCCCATTGTTTTGTAATGCAAAAGTTTTTAGTAATAGTATTTTTATCATTAAGAGGGGTAGAAATACTTCTATAAAAAACTAGTGGTTAAGAAGCAATCATGGCTGCATGTGATACGACATCACATGCAGATGATGTCATCTTTCACTATAGTTAATAAATAATTATCCTCTATCAAAAATTTTTACTTTAAATTTGATTAATTATCTAAAATGCTCCTAGACAAAAGTTACTACTTGGTGAAGTAAAGGTATCAAGTATCCAAAAAAAGTTGAGTCTCTTAAGGAAATACTCATATGTATGAGTACCCTAACATAATCCTTTAAAAATAGAAAGTAACTGGGATTGTCCACACAAAAAATCGGGTTGGATGGGCAGATCGACAATTTGGATTGAAGAATCGGACGGATCGGTCGAATCCACCTTAAAAAAATTAAAAAATTCCTAAATATATTGCTTTTTAAGTTTCCAAAAAATGGAGTATTGCATTTTGTACCTTCATGATTGTCAAAAATACATGAAAATTGATATGTCATATCTTATTGAGTATCTATTAATGTTAATGTTAATTTTAATATAGTACTTGTATAAAAAAACTTAGACTCATTTTGTGATTTTTAGTGAAGAAACAATGCCAAAAGTGAGTTTTGTGATTTTATAAATTTTATTTCTTTCTTAGTTTATTTTGAATCAAACGTTTTTTACTTTCTAATGTGAATACCTATTTTATAGATGAAAAGAAAAATCTCATTCTTTCCATTTTAGTAGGAATTTTTTTATTTAACTTTTAAATTTATAATTTCTTAATAGTTTTAAGTTTTGAATTTTAATTGCTTGCTTAGATTTACTTTATTAAGAAAAATGTAATGCATGAGGTAATTTTTATTATGTTGAGATAAACATGCCATCTTAATTTCACATGGGAGGCAAAAAATTTAATGCACAAGGGTGGTTATTTTCTAAATCCCTCTCTCTCTCTCTCGTTAGTATTTTTAGTTTTGAAAAATACTTGTGTGTATTTCAAAATAACACTAAGTTTTGTGTAGTTTTCCTCAATTTTCTTTTGTAGAGAGAGAAATATGTGAGTTTTTAGTCCCATATTGAAGATGAGAGTATGGATTGAGTGATATTTAAATGTGGGAATTCTCATGCCTTACGTTCTTAAAAAAAAAGAGTAAGTGATGGTGCATACACGAAGCACGCGAAGCATGTGACGTGTGAGCATGTATGTGTGCTTGTGAGAGGGCGCTTGATGGCACACTATGCATTTCGCACACTTGCCTCGCATGAGGTGTTCTTCACATATTTGTGGGTTGGGCTCAAACGTGGTGCGTGTGGGGAATCCATTGGACATTAGCCATTGAAGATTAGAAGCTTGTAACAGATCACTATCGTCGAAATCAAAGGCATAACAAGTGATTGTTGGTGGTGCATGTAGAGAGGGCGCTTGATGGCACACTTTGCATTTTGCACGCTTGCCTCGCATGAGGTGTTCTTCACATATGTGTGAAGTTGGGCTTGAGCGTGGTGTGTGTGGGGAATCCATCAGACATTAGCCATTGAAGATGCTAAAAGCTTGTAACTGATCACTATCGTCGAAATTGAAGGCGTAACAAATGATTATTGGTGGTGCATGTAACAACTTTAACATATCACAGCTGTTAAGATTAAAGGTGGTGCATGTAACAACTTTAACATATCACAGCCGTTAAGATTAAAGGTGGTGCATGTAACAACTTCAATAGTAAATGAGATTAAAGGTGGTGTATGTAACAAGTTCAATAATAAATAGGCAGCCTCTCAGAGCTCTATATAAATGATTCTTTTCACCCATTCTAAACACATTATGTTTATCACTCCATACAAATTTTTAGAGAGCTTTGGCATTGATTCCTCTCTCTACTCGTTTTCTCTCTCTATATATAATATACAAGACTATGATGTTTTACAATGGGCTTCTAGCAGGTGCATAGAGCTTTGAAGCATCAAAAGAGACTTTATGTTTTTTATATCCTAAGGATAAATTGCCTTTCACATGCACATCTTTTACTATATTGAAAGGGACAAATATTATCTTATGAAAGTGCCTTCATGCTCGACAATAGTATGGGATTTCGACTGATTCTTTCTTTTTCCCCCCTTTTTCACCCTCCAAATTACCAACATCTCTCTCTCTCTCTCTCCCTCGTGCGCACACATGCTAATGCATATGTCAAGGCACTCACATGCTTAGGGCCAAAACGTCACATTTTTTTAGATACCCTTCTAGTTGGTTATAGTCGTAATTCGTAATTCCTTTGTGTTTCATTTGTCCCACATCGAGAAGAAATGAAATGAAATTTAATGGGAGGTAAGGCAATATAAAATGGCCTTTACCTCCCCATGATACCATAGTAACGCCTACTAGTCCCTTTGCTAAAAAGTGAGTGGGAATCGGGTGGGGGCCAATTCATTAAAAATAAACGGGCCATTCATTAAAAAAAAACGGGGGAGTGTGGGAATTGTGTGGGTCCTACTTATTCAAAAATTAAAAACTTGAAAAAAATGGAATATGGCTGATTTGCCTCTTAAAACAATTAGCCATAATGTGTGACCTAGTTCAGATTTGGCGATTTTGATCATGATCAACGAAATTTATAATAGAAAATTAAGAAACCCCAATGGTGTATTTCAATCAATTGATATTACACTTTGATTAAGTTGAACAATTTTTAGCAGCTTACATTATATAAATAATAACATTATTGTTTAACATTAGTTGTGTTGGAAGTGTCGGAAGAACTGACACTACTTCCGACACTGGGCATGATTGTTATAGTTATGCATGGCAGTATCTGTGTAACCCTGGGCATAGTTGTTATAGTGGGATCGTTCGTTTTCCTAAATACAAACACAAACATCTACATTGTTAGATATAGAACTAGATAGCTGGCATGTGCTATTTCTCTAGGGAATTTTCTCGGAATCAACGGCTAAATGATGGTACACTCTTAAACGCTTGATTTCAAATCCCACATGTTTGAGAGCCTACTCGGAACAAGGGTATACAACCTCATTGTGTATTGTGGTTTCACCCTTCTAAGGGTGGCAATGGGCTACACCTTGGCTCGGCCCTTATTCCCATATGGCAGGGTTAGGCCCTGCCCAAAAAATTAAAAAAATAAAAGAAAAAACAAGAAAATTTGGTCGGTCCGGGCCAAACTGGGCTAGCACTTACCCTAGCCTACCCCTCCGTGGGGCCCAAGCCCCGTCCACCGGCTCGATTACCAGCACTGTTGGAAAAAACAAGCGATCTAACTAGTAACTACCCAATTAGATGGGAACTTGCTAGTGGCCGGTTCTAGTTTTGGACGGTTTTGGTGACCGATTGGTATTTAAAAAACAAATTAAAAAAAATTAAATAAATTTCTAAAAAAAAGGAATTCGGTTTGTAATGCATTTTTAATATTCTTTACATTATGGTAATGATTAAAATTTGTTTTTGGTCATTAATACTCACTTTTAGATTTTCTCATTTTTTTCATAAAATTTTAAATATGGCAAGCTTTCTATGCTTCCCCTACAACATAGAAGTTCGATCCTCCCCTTATCCAACCGTTCATTCTGAATAGAGGGCTAAGATTGCCCCAATCACAATGTCATGTTTCTACACTATTTTATTTTTAAATTTTTTTCTATAAACTATTTTCACACCAAATTTTGGACGTCCATTCTTTTATTAAACTCGCACTAGCAAAAGATATAAAAAAAATATTTTCAAATAAAATAAAATGATCAAAATACCCTTGAAAGTTTCAAAAGGCATTTTGGTCATTATATTTTATTGAAAAAATATTTTTGATATTTTTTATAGGAGCACCCCAATGAGAAGATGACACTCACCAAATTTCATATCCATACAATTTGTATATAAAAAAACTAAAACTAAAATACTTTGAGACATCGAATCTAAGATCAAACAGTGAGTAGCTCTCTTGATCAAAATTGGATGGTTGGATGGTAGGGGGATGATAGAACTTCTATGCTATAGGGAAGCCTATAAACCTTTCCCATTTAAAAGGATATCCTTAGGCATAAATCAAATCTTTGAATCTATTTTTTCATTAATTTTCAAATTCATTTGAATGTATTTTGTTTTCGTCTAGTGTATTTTTATTTATATTTGATTTTATTTTTTAAACATTTTTTTTGAGCGCCCGGCTACAACGGGCGAATCGGCCGGTTTACCGGCCATTCGATTTGGCGAACACGGATTACTGGTCATATTTCCAAGTCCATTTTCTCTACTTCGAGATCCTTCCCCACTTGAACCGATCACCAAGGTCCAAGACCCATTCGCAAACCACCCATTCTCATTTATACTCCACAGCTATCAATGCTTCAGTAATGGACACTTATGGTCCTCTTATCCAGAAAATTAGGGTTCCTCAACCCTCTCTCCAACGACTTGCAGTGATTTCTATTTTCCGAAAGCTCAGATCCTCTGCAAGTAAACTCGATTTTCAGTCTAATACAAGCAGGGACGCTCTCTATAACTGTCTCCATTGCGAAGAGCTCGCTGTTCTGGACCAGACAGTGAGAGAATTGTGTCTTTTGGTAAAGGATGGAATATTGGAACCTCATTTAGCTTTTCAAGAGCTTCTAGCCGGTCTTGAGGCCTGCAATGCTCGTTCACTTAGTCTTTTTGTCAAAGGAATAGGGCTTCTTTGTCGAATTGCTGTTGAAAAGGAACCATCATGGCTTATCGGCCCCCCTGATCTTCATCCATTCGTTAAGGTAGGTTTTTGTTTGTAAAATAGTAATAATTCTAATATTCGTTGGTTTATTCTGACATATATTGCTGAATTCTGAGTAATTATGCATAGATACGTGGTGTGATTTGGTTTATATTCCATTATTTAATTTTGGGGTATTCGAGAAATGAAATGTTCCCGTTGTAACATCAAGCTAATGGTCTCTAACTTTAGTGCATTTCTATGCAACAGGTGTTTGGTTGTCGAGTTGAGGTTCACAATGAACTCATACAACAGTTAATTCTGCAGATTTTGCACATGGAATCATTGAATTCCAGAGATGTTGTCAAATTCGTGAGACCATTCTTGATGCTTACTGTTCTTCAAGCTTCTATTTCAAGTGCTTCGTCCTTCTTTGTGAGGCGATTGTTGTCCACTCTGGCATCATTAGCTTGCTCTCTGTCCTCAGAGGGGCTACCCATCTTCAAGACTCTTATAGAATCCTTGAAATATTTCCCTTGGGAGAGTTCAGAAGTAAGTTCACCTACAAGTTTAGTGAACATTGTGTTTAATCTCGTTCTACTACTTATTTAGAACAGCAAGTATACTCTCACACATATGTATATGTATGTGTGTATAAATTCGTTTATGCTATGTTGGCTACAAAAACCCACAACATAAGTAGATTTTTTCTCTCGGGAAAAAAATCCTATGATTGTGGCAGATATTATTATCCAATCAAAAGTAGCTCTTTTATTCCTTCTTTGTGTTTCTGCTCAGGATTTTGCGTGTCTTATTGCTTGTGCGGAAGATTTGGTGGATGCATTTGAAGCCATATTGAAGCAAATGGCTGGCTCTGAAGAGGTATTGTTTTTTAGCACTCTAACGTTGGGTTTGGGTTTCGTTTTCATGTCTTTCTCTGCTTGTTTACTTCAAATTTTAATTCTTCAAACTAGTTCATGTTTTTCTTTATTTTGCTATTGCTTATTTATTTTTTAGGTTTTCATTCTTCCCATCACTGTGGTTTTGTATCTGTGGTTGCAGCTGGTAAACGAAGCACAAGCCCTTGGGACAGATTTGATGGACATTCTTTTATCCTATAGATATCCTTGGAAGCTAACTATTGGGATTGAGCCAATTATGGAGCTATCAAAGCGTGTTGTACTCATCCAAAAGAGTTACACTTTGAGTTATTTACCTGATTTCAGTGCAATTGTGGCATCTTTGTTCTGTATTCTCATTGCAACAGAGATTGAACATGAGCAACTCTCAATATTGAAACTTTCCACTTTACTAGTGAAATGGAGACATGAAAGTGGTATGTTGATTTTCTCTTTAATTCTTTGGGCTGATAAGGAGTATTGCACACAAATTTATGTATATTTTTGCATGTAGCTTGCTATCCAATTAGAATAAGGGGCTTTTTTTTTTTTTTGGTAAATGGCATCCCCGTTCATATTTCTTGCATTTCAGTCGGTTAAATATAACATTTGTTGTATTCTGGGTATTTTCCCTGCATCTTGTTCTGCTTACACACTTTTGTTTGATTAGAAATATCCCTCATGAACATTTTTAATGCTTTATTAAATGAAAAATGTTTTGAGTTCATTTGGGTTATTTTTCCTCAAAAGCATAAAACTGTCCAACTTTATTGATTCGTCGTGTTTGAAGATAATTTCTTTTTTTTTTGTCAAAGAATAATTCACTAAGCAATTGTTATGTAAGAGCAACAATAAAAGGAAAATTTAGTTACTTTAGGTTTTTGCCAATATCCCCTGGACCTTGCCTGTTCTTGATTTTTCAAGATAATCTCTAGTTTGGGATTCATGATGATTAGCATGTGTTTCAATGGTGGCTCTGATTTGGGTCATTTGGATGGAAAGAAATAAGAAAATATTTGAGAACTAAAGGTCACAACTAAGAGCTGTAGAAGATGGGATCAAAGCCCTGGTATCTTTTGGGCATCCAAATGGAATGATTTGAATGCATTGTTGGCCTTTGACTTCATAATGAACTGGAAAAACGTTACTGCATTCCACTCCTATGTCAATTCATCAATCGAGCTGATGGTTGCCTCTAGAACTTGGAATCATCAAACTGAATTATGAATGGTATTTCTATGAAAACCTGGAATCAGTGTTAGCTTTTTATTGAAAATGTGTTTTGACAAATTTCTAGATTTCCTTAGGTGTTTGTGACTATTATTTTTTTGTTAAGCTTTTATTGTTCCTCTCTGGGCAGTTAGTGCCTTTGGGCTCGATATTGCTTGGAAAGACCCATTCGATTCCATATTATGAATTGCAAATTGAGTATCAAAGTTATTGAACTACAATACGTAATCAAGATCCAAAAGAAAATTTGCTTTCTGGTTATTGCTTTACTTGTAGTATGATTTTATCATGACATGAGCCTGAATTATGTAGTTTTATGTTCCTAGAGCTATAATTGCTGAAATTTTGTGCAGATTTTAGTTGTTAGAAATGCCTTGGAGTGTGCGGTGGTGGGGAAGCAAGAGTTAATGGTTATTTAGTGTAAATTTCTTAAGAGTTGAAATTTAAATGTTGGATTTAGGGGAGAGAAGACGTCATCATTATGGATTTCCTTAAATTTCAAATCAGGTGTTTTGTACTAGGGCTAACCTATGTGAAACCCTATATAACCTATACACTCAAATTTGATTATACTTCCTTGGAAACCTTGTTTGTGACCTTCATTTTGTTGCTTTGACTTTGGGTTGAAACAATGAAGTCTATTTATTGAGTATACTCGCTTTACTATCCAGATATTGTATGGCTCGCAAATCCACTAATTGAAATGCAAAAAAAGGTGTGGCTATGTGGAACTCAAGGTATTAAATTAAAATTTTTTTCTTTGACTTTTATTCCAAATACCTGAATTCCACTTACATGATCCACAATATGTTGCTGTTGCCTAGATACAATCTAGTATCGTTATTTTCATTGCCAAGTGAAATAGAAATTATCTAGGACCTTTAAACTAACTTCCACTATAGTTTTTAGAACAAAATAAGTTCTTGAATATTTATAGAAAATAGGAAATACTATTGACAATTAGTTAAACTACTGGAAAGACTTATTGGAAATGCATATAGTTACCCTACTAGAAATTGTTACACCCCACACTCGATTGCTTGATTGATGGCATACTTTTACTCCTTATGAGATAGGGAAGCTTTATAGGCAATATTTATTCTTTTAGGGTTTTAGAGAGAAAAAATAAACTAGGGTTTATAGAAACCCTATAGGAACAAATTAGGATCGAACTTGAGAATCGATTTTACTCTAAGCTGCACATACCGCTGCATCCTTAAAAAAAACAACAAACCCTAGCCCAAGGGTTTCATGTTCTACCATATTTTTCTTTCACTTTGGGTGGTGTGAATAGAAAAATAGTGGAGAGAGAGGGTGGCGTGAGAGAGAGAGATCTCCCTTTTTTTTGTGCGCGAAGGAAAAATAGAGAAGAGGGAGAATTACGGCGTGAGGGGGAGAAAGAGATCTTAGGGCATGAGAGAGAATCTTGTGTTATAATTTGGGAGAGAGGTTCAAATAGCTTTGTAGAAAAAAAATCTCTCTCTCAAATGAAATAGGATTCCTTCTAAGTATTGCCTCATCCAATTTCCAGCTAGATCTTTAGGATAAATAGGAAACCTTTAGGGCAAGAGAGATTTAATCAGAACCACCATCTCAAAAAGCTATTTGAACTTCTCTCCCATATTATGAGAGGAACCTTATCCCTTAAACTTTGACCTAAGTCCAACTCCTATTTAAAACTTGAAATATAATCAATCTATATCATAGATATCCCATAAGGATAGAAAACCAAATTTAATTTGAATTAGATTTTTCTATCTAACTTATTTTAAAAATTGAACCATATCAAGATTGAAACAACAAAATGGGGTGTGCCCCCTTTTACCTAAAAAAGTGGCATGCTAGTTATTACCAAAAAAATCTCGTGCCCCCCCTTTGCATAAAATGTGGTGTGCCCCTTTTTCTTAAAAACGATGGCGTCCATTCTCTCTTTCAATTTTTTTTTTAATAAAGTGGGGCGTACCGCCTTTCTTCCCAAAAGGTGGGCACTCCACTCGCCTTAGAAATTATGATCCAATACTGTTTTCTTATCCAACCCAACAAAAACTCATGTCCCACATTCTCAAAGCAGGGGCTCATGATTGGCTTGTCAAAGTTGGACAATAAACAAGTGGACCATAATCTTGGAATGTGGATTTCAATTCTCCCCTTTTAGTGCAAGTTTAACACTTGTCACTACAGTGAAAAGGAGGTTCTCTCTATGCATAAGTACACGTGTTCCTTTATGGGACTTCTTCCCAGTAAGGCAGCTATCATGTATACATGCCATGCGAAAGTTTGTTGAGGCTTTGGCCCTTGTTCTCACAGGCTTACAACTGCACACTGGATACCACACAGTTCTCTTGGCCTACAATGGTACATAGGATACCACACAGTTCTCCTAGCCTACAAACATGGTTATTGGGCTAAGGGTTTTGGACATGACCGGAGCCATAAACCGCCCTGATCCTTAGTCAATCAACACACACACACCCACTGAAGTGCATATTGTCTTTAAAGGCTACAAAACCCATCAGAAACATGACTAGGATGCATTTTTATGTTCGGATAGCAAGGGAGTAACGAAGATACTTGTATTAGTCCTTTTTTCTATGAATTAATGCTTTTTGTGGTTGCTAGCACAAAATCCAATTAAGGTCTTTGAATTAGTTTGTATCATTGTAGCCCTTTCTCACTATAGTATTCATTTAAGGTGATGTAGCATCTAAGACAGCTTCTAATTGTTCTTTTTGTTTTTTTATTTTTATTTTTATATTTAGAGGATATGTTGCAATTCATTAAATAATTTGAAAATCTTTACGCCCATTGGATCTTAATCTAATAGAACTGCTTATTTCAATGAATCTTTTGATTCTTACGGTGAGGATTGGTATTGCAGCACATCTTTTGTTGTATTTGACAACAGAGGTGTTAAACAAATCTTTTGTATATTGCAGAATATGTGAGGGGAAGACATGGAGTTTGTTATGGTGAAGAACTTCTGTTTGTTTTACCTATTACTCATCTTATGGTATCTCCCTCTAAGTGCATCAAAGATGCAGCTGCTGATCTTCTTCATGTTTTAGAAAGTGTAGTAGTGGATTTACTTTCTGCACCAATGAACATTGCACTCATTAATGAAGGACCACCTTCCACAAGCAGACCAGAAACTGTTGTTCGAAGACTATTCCGGTACCTTTGGCTTCAGGTTGGTTTTTCAACTTGTGTTGGACAAATTGTTTCCTCCCTACTGGTTGTTTTGTTGAAGTTATGATTTTTCTCACGCATCATTTTCTCAGCTTAGCTTTAATGCAAGTTCTCTCGTGTTGTAGCTTGAGTTTACACTTCGTCTTCCTATTAGTGATGCTTAAAAAATTTCTGGATGATCTGGAGATTCAATAAATTTGGCTTGCTTGGCCTGTAATTGAATCCTTTCACTCCTGACTCTGGCTTACCAGGCCCTTAGTCCACCGTACTCCAACTTTACGGTGATTGGCTAGTCCATATTTGGCCTGTATGTATTTTAATGAGGAACTCAATTAGTTGTTTGACTTGCATTATAGATTAGATTCCCTTCCAGGATTTAAATTTTCTTAGTCAATAATATTCATTTATATAAGGTTTATGTGTTGCATGCCATTTGTTTGTTGTAATATTTTTTTTTGTTGTAATATTTTTTTTTGTTGTCCTAGCTCTACGCACAGTCTAAATTTGTTTCCTATTTCTACAGGGTCTGGTGGTCACTTTAGTATTTCTTTTATCATTGATATTTTAGTGCGAACATCAAAACTATCCACATTATTTGAAAATATTAAAAGTATCATGGAAAAGTTATCAATATGGTTCAGAATCTTTAAACTACACAATTGACATCCCAGTTCCCAAATTATGTTCTTCTTACACCTATGATAGGCAGGGTGTTGGCCACAAGTTCCCTTCCCATTTGGCAAAGGAACCTAAAGTTTCGGGAAGACATAACAGAATGTGTGGAAGTCCATCCTTTTCCAGCTATGTGATTTCTTTCTTACGATCTCCTTATATGCAAATTTGGTTCATGCGAGAATATATAGCGCTGTAGAACCTGTGTGAAAGAGCTAAAGCCCTTGCTATGATCGAGTTGGCACTATCCATGACATAGACGTATTGTCAAATGTTCTTTAATTCTACCGACAGAACAAAAACTGATGGTTAATTAAAACAAGTGTCATATTTTTTGTGATTTATTTTTAATTGTGAATTTTATTATAGTATTAATTTTTTGGTCATATAATTTGCAAGTCCAACGATGTTGTGGATCGGCTGGCGAAAGAGGGCGTTAGAAGACATGGTCAGGCTGCTCATACTGGATCCACTTTCTTTTTTGCACTGGACCAGTGAACCTCTATCTAAAATATTTTGGGCCTTTCTCTTTTCTTTTTGGCTCTGTACTTCTCGAGGTGGAGGGGCAATTTTATAGGCCCTGTCCTTGCCTCTTCCTTGTAAATCTTTGTTAGGGGGGAATTCTTATAACCCAATTACTGTACTGGGTCTACCGACCTATTTTTTACCAGGAGTCCCATCTAGAGGGCACTCCAGGAGGATCACTATACTGTAATCTCTCTTTTACAGCAATACAAATGTTAACATTTCTCAAAACAAACTTTTGAATGATCCAAAAATGATGTCATAAAAATAAAATAAAATTTAACTAGACATGGCATTGATGATCTTGTTAATGATATAATCATGTGTGCATTAAACATCTTTGTCTTTACATGGGTCAAACATTGTATTTGGACCCTACTTATCACAGGACAAATTATCTAGTTTCTTTTATTCTCATGGTTTCTTAGTAGCCCTAGATGGGACTCTACAGTAAGCTGTTTTCAAGAGTTTGTTATAAGAGAGATGGTACCATGATTTCTTGGTAGCATTAGATGGAACTCTACGGTAAGCTGCTTTTAGGAGTTTGTTACAGGAGAGATAGTACCACTTTTTTTTTTGGGTAAGTTGGTACCACTTACATAGGGAAGATTGAGTACTGACAGCAAATTAAAACAGGACGATGCTGTAGAGCTGCTGTGCTTGTGAGTATATAGAAAACAATTCGCTTGACTTGTACTACAATATAGACAAAAACAAGCCAATACACCTTGAAACTTTAATACACTTTGAAATTACAACTTGTAAAAATAAATTACAGCAAGGTCACTGCAACTACATTGAGCTATTGACTTTCAAATACATTCATTTGAGAAGATACAACTCAATTAGGGGCCCTTGTACATGAAGAAAACAAGTTACAGAAGGAGATCATCAAACTGCACATGAATAGTATGGATTTGAAATTTCAGCACCACTCAAATTGACAAAGCAAAATTATATATCAATGAACTCATAAAAACTCATCACAACATGATCTCCATTATATGAACATACATATGCTCAAGTGTGCAATACAATGTGAGCATGGGAAGCCAATTGGAGCTCTCGGGTGCCCGGTTTACGACCTTGGATCTTAGCTATGTGACATTGGGTAACATGCGATGCCATACCTAAACATTGGGCCAATATCATCATCTGACATGTGGGAAGCCCAGCATCTACTGATACACACTTAGAACATGGAAGGATTTGCAGAGATCTAAATATTAAATCAAGTGGGAAAATCATGGGAGAAAATTGGGCTCTTAAAACACAAACCGGTTTAATAGAGTTCACAGTTCGGCTCACAAAATTTTAGTATGGTCTCTTCTTAAAAAATCAACAATTCAAGGGATTAGAAAGAAGGTCTAAGTGGCTAATATGATCATGAAAAACTCAAAGAAATATTAGCCAAAACTACTACAATGTTCAAGAAAGAAAGCTCATAGAAACTATGTCAAAATGTGCATGGATGAAGCCTTTAACTGAAAGGTATGGCTATGTGGAACTCAAGGTATTAAATTAAGGAATTTTTGTTTTATTTTTGTTCCAAATACCAGAATTCCACTTACAGGAATTTATAATATTTAGATAAATATTATCTAGATATCTCATAAAATGTAGGAAACCAAATCTAATTTAAAGTCAATAAGATTTTCAATAATATTTAAATCAAATACTAAATCAATGGGATATGCCCCCTTTCTCCTCATCTAGTGGCATGGCCCCCCTTTGGTTAACAAATAAAATTTAAGAACAAATATGGGGCTTCCCTCCATTGTGCTGAAAAGGTGGCATGGAGCCACATAAAGCTTTAAAAGAAATATTTTGGGCGTGGCCCACACCAAAATAGTGAGGCATGCCCCTTTATGCTAAAAGATAAAATTAGGGTGTAGTCCCTAGGGTGGTACGTGGTCTCACATGTGATTTAAAGTTTTGAAATTTTTAGAAATACCCTTTTATAAAAATTAACAGCAGAAATAATATTTTAAAACTTTGAAAAATATTTAAAAATAAAAAAAACGCATATAATACCAAAATAAATTATACTAGGAGTGTATTGATACCAATGAGTCAAAATAAACGACAATAAAAGCACTCCACTCACCCCAGAAATATGATCCACAACTGTTATCTTATCCAACTCAACAAAGTCCCATGACCCACCGTCTCTTTACAGGGGCTCATGATTAGCTTGTCAAAGTTGAACAATAAAACAGTGGGACCATGATCCTGGAATGTGGATTATAGTCTCCCTTTTAAGAGCAAGTCTAACACTTGTCACTATGATGCAAATGGGGCTCTCTCAATGCATTTGTACACGTATCCCTATAAAGGGCTGCTGCCCATATGGCTGTTATGTGTATTTGTCGTGCAGAAGTTTGGTGAGGATTTGGCCCTTACTCTCACAGGTCCACAACCGCACACAGGAGATTACACAATTCTCCTGGCCTACAAACATGATCCCTGGGTATCTCTTCGACCTCAACATGGGATGACATACTTCAAACCCTTCTCAGTTGTACCACATGCCTAGGGTCAAGGGTTTGGATATAACCAGGGCCACAAGCCGCCAAACCCGTAGTTAGTCAACACATATACTCCTACCAAAGTGCGTATTCCATTATGCATTCATTTTTACAAGCACTCTAGGCCTTTGAAAGCCACAAAACCTAACATTAACTATATGGATCAAGTGAGATCAATGGTGATTCAAAGGATCAAAGATCTAATTATCAAAGGATGAAGAAATGTTGTTGTAATAAAAAATTTACAGCAATTAGAAACTAAAGGAATCAATGAAAATAGAAAGATCTTGCTCAATTGTTGAAGGCTTGGAGACTAGATCATCCATGACTTGAATATTCAGCTTTGAATCACCATTAATAGAGTAGTATAAGACCTTCAATGGAGTTCATCACTCATCTTAACTTGAAGGAGGATCATAGAGAGAGAAAGGAAGAAGAATTGACTTTGGGTGTGCCACTCAAATGGGAGAGAGATAGAAAAATCTATGCCACCTTTTAAAGAGAGAAAGGTGAATTGAACTCATGTCCATGAAATGAAGGCTTAAGGGGGTATTTATAAGCTTCTAACCTTAAAGTGTGGAGATGCTTCTAAATGGATGAAGCTTGACCGTCCATGTCATCTACCAATGGCTACAAAGAGAGATATGATCCTAGCCCCTTATCCACCATCATGGCATCAAGACGTGTGGTACGGATTGAAGCACCTTTATCCTCCTTTAATTCACTCAAATTTCCAAAATACCTTTGCTCTTTACATTTAATAAAGTTAAAACCAAGATGGAGGGTATATCCTTATGGTACTTCGTCAAAAATTCCTGCAAAAAGCAAGTCTCAAAAGTCCCTACTATTTTATAAGATCATGTGGGGCTAATGAAATCATGCCACCTAAGCTAGGTGGTTAATTGCACATTTACTGTATAGCCTTAGGGTTATGCGTGTAATTACAAACCCTATACCCCTTTTAGAATCCTCTGCACATGTGCATAACGCCCTTGCTTTAGGCATGGAACATATGCCAACACGTTGGATCCCCCAAGCCAACACGCGGACACCCATTGGCTATTTGGGTGTCCCGTATGGGTTTCGGGGACTGTTCTTGTTTGTCCTTTCTCTCAAACAATTTCAGAAAATAGATTTTCTTGCCCAGAAAAATCCAGAAAAATTCCCATAAATCCATAGAAATCATTTTAATGTTTTTCCATCGAAATAAATCATTTTGGAATTTTATTAAAAAAAAATCATTTTGGCTTTGATTAAAAACATTTACAAGGGAAATTAGGATCCTTGGAGTTGAATTATGAAATGGAGCACTCCACTCAGCTAGACTTGGAATCCAAGAGCCACCTTCTCAGTATTACCCAACATACTCATAACCCACAATGTATAATTAGGGGCTCATGATCTCAGCCTATCAAAGTCAAACCAATGTGTGACCCTGAATTCCCAATTATAAGTGGATTTCAGGTGCAACCCCTAGAGGACATGCACACACAAGTTGCCGGGGTTCTTCTCTTGGCACATGTGCATAACTCCAACTAGTGGATCCTTGGAAGAGAGGCTTCCCACGCATTGCGACTGTATATGCACATGCTACGAGAAGATACTAGGAGTCAGGGATTTAGGCCAATGTCCTCTATTGGCCCTAAACATGTCGTACAGGGTTTTTTATCATCAAGCTCATACATAGAGTGTATTGCCCTGGCTCATACCAAGATCTTAAAGTAGTGTTGCTCTTTTACTCCTATTGAAGTTAAGAGCCATTGAAAATGTCGAATTTAAGGCTTTGAATGGACATAATTCCAACAATGCTTGCTTGCAGGTTTCGTTGGGAAAGCTTCTAATGTATGTAGCGTTCACTAATTATAGACCCTTAATCTGTAATATCGGTCTGAGTAGCAAAATGGCAATGGAGAGTTATGCTGACTACACATTGTGTTGGTTATGACAACGTGAGAACTTTGGGATGTTCTGAAAGCAATAAATGGAAAACTTCAACATGTTGAGAGGACATCTTAGTTTACTTATTTGGACTAAACCATGTCTTGCTTTTGATTTTGACCAAACTAGTAAATAGTGGCATACTGAAATACATTTTATCAAGGGAAATATTGAGGTATAAAGTACTTACTTGATGAATTGTCAATATTTTGATGAATTTGAGGGGCATTGACAAATAATTGTTCATGATTATTAGTATCCAATCGTAATTTATTTGTCCATTTTTTCATTGAACTTCTAAAAATCTCATATAATTTGTTTCTTTTTATGTGTCATGAAATTTTAGTCTGAACCTTTCTTTATATTTCTTGTTTTGTGTATCAGGATCATTCTTATTCAGCTGATGTGTACTGTCTGCTATTGACTTGCAAATCTCAATTCAAAAGTAATGAAATTCCGGACAAGATGAAGTCTTGGTTAGATCAATTGAGGTTGTACTGTCTTGGTTCTTCTGGAGGGTTAAAATCTACATCTGTCTTTCAGTTGCAAGATTACCAGACAAGAGGTTGACTCTTTATTGTTGCTTTGGAACTTTTTGCTTTCGGTTGGCTGTATCATTGGTCTAAAATGGTCTCTTTTAGCAGTAGGATTTTTGTCATTAAATATTGACTGCCTTGGTCTCCTTTTCTAGGTATGCCTTCATTGCTTGGTGCTGTCGCCTCAGCTTTAGTTATGCACCAAACTTTGGGCTGCCCTGCCATTGAAGCTTTGACTGCTATTGGGATGATGGAGCCCAGATTAGATGTTTCACTGTTACTTGTCACTTTATTCTATAGTAAAATCTTGTGCACAAACTTGAGTAACTCTAATGAAGTTCTGGTAGGATCAGCAGAGACTTGTTTTGTTTCCCTATCTCATTTCATCTGTTCCAATTATCTTTTTGTATGCATTGATGCTGACATTTCGAACTGCATTATGTGCAGGTCAAACTTCTGGGTATGCTTCCATCACTGGCATCACATTCCTCTATGGTACCACTTATCATCCAGACTATTTTACCAATGCTTCACAGGGATGCCAAACCGTATGATATCTATCTATTGTAATTCTGTGGCACGTCAGAGGGTGGCTTAGCATATAAAAGATGGCATCTCAGAGATAGATTGCTTGTTACTTTCATTTTATCAATCGGCTTCTTTGTTTCCACATCAAAATCTAAGTTTCTTGTGACTAAAGCATCACTGTTCTATAGCATGTGTATTGGGATTGGTTGGCAATTATTTTTCTGTAGGTTTTTCTTGAAGGTCTTTTGCCTGGGGTTTACTTCCTTCTTCTAGGACTCTTATTTTGCTGTAATATCTTTCTTGCTTCCATTTCTTTTTTTTCCTACTTGATGTGCATGTTTGTGTTTGCTATACTCCTGAGGACAATTGGAGGTAGTGGGAGCCTAGCTCTGTTCAACTCATTGATTTGCATACACATGTATGTACCTACACACTCATTAGGTAGTTTTTGGTATGTGCATTTGTATATTTAGATGCCCCCATTGGTGACTAACTCTCAAATATTTTCTTACATTATCACTAAAGTCTGTTGGTTGCATTTATACATTATGTAGTTTTTGGTATGCATATTTGTATATTTAGATGCTTCCATTGGTGTCTAAGGGACCCTCAAATTTTATCTTCCATTATTTCTAAAGTCTGTTGGTTTCATTTACTTGCAGAATATTAATTGCAACATCTGTTCGCTTGCTTTCCAAGACGTGGGAGGTTTCAGACCGTGTCTTTGCACATCTACGAGTAGGAAATTATTTTCTTTTCTACTTTGAGTAATGCTTGATAGTCTTGGACTGTGCACCTCTAGTTTATATGGGAATTTAAACTTATGTGACAATTGATGGAAATGTATGCAACATATGTTTGATTCTGCTATTTGGGACATGTGTACATATTTGGTTGTTCACCTGTAATTTTTCATTTTATAGTTACTATTTATTTTTTCACTTTAGGAGGCTTATATTGTTGTCTTGCTCCTCTTTGTGCTTTTTATCATCTAGGGGCCCTAGTGTGCTTTCCTTTTTGGATTGGTCTTAGTTTGCCTTAATGTATACTTCCAGTGTTTGTGTTTCGTCTCACTAGAGCTCTCGTAAGATTTTTGATTCTCAATGGATTCACACATTATCTTATCTTCCACTTCCACCAATTTACGAATGGTCATCTTTAATTTATGGCCAAGTGCAAAGAAAACCATGGGTACAAATTACATTCTTGAATACTAAAAGTTCACTCCCATAAATATAGATTTATACTTAAGTGCCCAAAACATATGATATTAACTATGTTTACTCAATCCATTAGAGCATTCCATTTTCTCCATTTTTGAACTTTGGTTTAATCTACCATGCGATGGTACAAGGTAGTGAGGTGCTTGTGGTGGAATGTGAGGTGTGTGTGCTATGCTGTTATATCATTTAGGCTATGTGGTTATCTAGTTAGCTATGATAGAAAGTTACGTTCTTTTTTTCTTCTAGTTTTCTTTCATGCCCATTATTTGTCTTTATATATGTTTCCACTAGGTTTGATGCTAGCATGCTCCTTACAGCTATTTTGCTTGGTATGTTCAGGGTGCCTTGCTTCCTACTGCTTTTGCAGATTCTGCCTCGGAGAGGGATCTAGGTATAAGCCTGGCTGCTTCTGTGCGTGATGTTTGCAAGAAGGATGCTGACAGGGGTGTTGACATTATCTTATCTGTTTCCGTGAGTATCCTTTGAATCCCACAAATAAAATGATAGCAAGTTGTGTCATGTTTGTCCCACTGTGGTCATGTATTTTGTTTTGCTTTCTACAGGCTTGCATTGAGAGCAAAGTTTCCACAGTCCAAGCTTTGGGTTTGGAGAGCTTAGGCCATTTGTGTGAAGCTGATGTAGTTGGTAGAGCTTCACAAACAATTTCCACATTTGTTTTCTTCGGTGGCAATTTTTGATGATTTTATAAGATCTGATCTGCTAGATTGTCAAACGTTTTAGGGAGAAGGATGAATACTCCCTCTCTATAATTATAATTCCAAATAACCCTTGGGTCCATGGATCCCTTCCAAGTTAAAAGAAAAAAGATGTTTAACGCCTTCCTAGTTTGGGATGTTTAACGCCTTCAAATTACAGTATTTATCCTTTTCTTTTTTCTAATGACCCCATCATTCAAATGGACTTTGGGATGCTGCACTTAGCCTACTTGTGAGATGAGAGAGAGAGAGAGAGAGAGAGAGAGAGAGAGAGAGAGAGAGATCTGTTCAAGGGAGGTAGAGAAGAAAGGGTTCACAGGTAATGGAGAGAGGGGGTGGAGCTTTTCTATGGTTTGGATGATGAGGTCGTTACAAAAAAGAAGGAGAAGTATTGTCATTTGGACTATGAAAAAAGTAGGGAGGGGGTAATAGGAAAGGTGTGGCTATGTAGAATTCCAAAGCATAAATTCAAATTTTTTTCTCGTTTCTTATTAATAGTTGGAATTTCGACTTACAATTGCCACAATACAATGCAGAAATAGAAAATAAACCTACTACAATATAGCATCTTTAATTCTTACTGCCAAAATAAAACTTCATTGAAAATTGAATTCAAGCTTACAATATGAAAACAAGAGTCCTTTTCCAGGTAGAAATCCTAATCCAAATAGGAGTTCTAATATAATTAATACTTCTAAACCAAATATGAATCAAGAACTAAGATAAATTGATAAACAAAAACCCGGAATGACTTATTGAACCTTTGCCTAGGGTTACCCCCTTAGGTCTTAGCATACCCCACAACCGATCAGCGAACCGATGGCGCACTTGATCCTTGGGTCTTACAGAATCCATTGAACTGGGAAGCACCTCTAGAATAACCTCTAACAAACAATGCGGCTCAAAGCATGGGCTAGGAAATTAGGGTTTCCCTGATCCTTTAAACCTTTGGGGCATACCACTATGTGGCACCACTCTTTAAGGTGAGATGGTAAACAAATTAGTGCCATCTATTCCTGAAATCTGCCTTCATGATTAGGGAGGAATCTAGGAACCTTATCTCTTGAATCTTTGACTCCTATTCACTTCGAGTTAGACTAGAACTAGTTCTTCCATAGTCCCATAAAATTTCGACTCTTACTCGCATAGAAATGACTTTTAATATCTTTAGAAATCAAAGTCAGCTTGAAGATTCAATTCAAAGTCATAGGAAAAGATTTCGAACCAACAAATCCCCATGGAATATTTCTAAAGATTTCCGTAACAAACAGAGATATTTCTTCAACAACTGGGGCGTGCGGCCAAAGTGGGTCCCGCGTCCTACCTTGTGGTTCCCACACTAGTGAGGGTTGGGCCCTTGGCCGCCCCCTCCCACTAAAAATGAAAAAAAAAAACAGTTGGGTCCCACGTAAAAACAATGCCCCCCACAAATTGAAGACATTACAACATTGCTTTTTTAGGGGATTTCTTGCAACAATATAATTTCAAAAATTCAAAAAATATTTAAAAATCGTAGGAGCATAAATTAAGCTGAAAACAAAGGGAAAAGCCTTATAGCCCCCTTTGATTGCATTCACAAATAAACTCTCAAGTACTATGGACCTTTGAGTTAAAAGAAAAAGATATTTGTGGGGTTTGTGGCTTTTAAAGCCCTTGAAAGTATATAAATATAGTGGATTGTGCATTTCATTAGTGTATGTTCGATGACTGGCCACGTCATGTCTAAAACCCTTTCCTTGGCTATAAGCACCTCTGTTGAGGGTTTCAGGAGGGTCATTCCTTGTTAAAGTCCGAGACATAGTTACCGGAATCTCTCTTGGGATCCCGTGATTCTAGTTCGGAAACCCGTTTCCGCGTTTCCGTTTAGGAAACTCCACGGAAACCGTTTTTTCGAACCTCGGAAACTCGATTCCTTTATCTCGAAATCTCGATTCCATACCTAGGTGGGAACCTTTTTTTAGAACATAGGAAACTCGATTCCTTGATTTCGGAATCTAGATTCCTCACATATGTGGAAACCTATTTTAGGAACCAAGGAAACTCGTTTCCTTACTTTCGGAATCTCAGTTCAACACTTCTTTTAGAAATATTTTTCGGAACCACGAAAACTTGATTCCTTAGTTTTGGAATCTCGATTCCTTAATTTCAGAATCTCGATTCCTTCATTTGGATATCTCGATCCAGCAGATCTAGAAAAACTTGACCCCCCCTAAATGTGTGTAGATACTCCCAAGCAGATTGAATCTGGCTTCCAGTGTAGTTTAAATCTTGATTCCATGATAACTGTTACACGATTCTACATGTAATGAAACTCGTTTAGTTAGGGTTTTAACTTTTGAATTATCTACCGTATAAAACGTTGGTTTCTTGTAAATAACAACCACGGAAGTATGTTTTTTTTTTTAGTGGATGTCATTCGGTGGCATGTGTAGTAGAAGGGGTATTATTATTTATAAAACATGGATTTTAGAAGGAATTTAATGAGATTGTGGTGCTTTTTTTATTTATCTTTATTATGTTTCTTATATTTTTCTTTACCTTGTTCATAGTTATGTGAATTGCTTAAGTGAACATGCACCATGTCTCGTCTTGCAACATTGCTTAGTGTTGTACTACCGGTTGCCAAATGGTTATTAATAATGTTATTTTTACTTTTTTTTGCCTGATTTAAGTGCCTATAAAATAATGTTCCTTATATTTGCAGTGATATAAATTGTCTTGGTTTCTTAAACTTGCTCATATGTTATGTCAAATTATTTAAATGCCTATAGAATAATGTTTCTTATATTTGCAATATGTAAACGGCCTTTGTTTCTGAATCTTGCTCATATGTTATGTGAATACTGAATGTAAAGTGGTATTTGAATACTGAATGTAAAGTGGTTGTTAATAATGCTAATTGAATGTTTTGGCTTCTAATTTAAATGCCTATAAAATATTGAAACTTTTTATTAACATATAAAGCAACACACATGGACTGATAAATAAAACTCTAGAATTTGTGCATTATGTAATAAAAAAAAGTTACAATACTTCATAATAGAAAGTGAGAGAGAGATAGAGAGCAGGGAAGGAGAGGGGGAGGGTGGCTACGACTTGTTCTTTCTTCCACTCTTTCGAGTTACTGCGAGGAGCTTTTGTGTAATGGTAGAAACTGTTGGAGGAACTCGAACTGTAGGAGACGCTCTTGGGGTAGAATATGATGGTTGCACTATTGGGGCGATGCTTGGTGTAGTCTGGCTGAGGACGTGCTCGATGGTACCTTCAGTTGCCAATACATTGGGGTGACTTGGAGTTCTAGGTGGCTCTCTTGAAGTACCCGATGGAGTGACAGATCCCAAAGGCAGTGCATACACAACTCTGTCATCATCAACATCGAGGCATGCATCCAACGATTCGAGAGCCACTATGTCATCCTCGAGATGATCATCTTCTGGATGAGAGTCCTAATTCTTATATTTCTCTTTATAGTCTGCTTGCAATCTAATCAATAGTTTGTCATTGTAATGAACATGCACTAATGATTCAGAACGATCCGCATTCAGCCGATTTCGTTTAACATTGTGTATGTAGCTATACGTGCTCCAACATCTCTTTGCACCCGAGGAATTAGCACTTTGTGTCAACACCTTCACCGCAATTGCATGCAATTCTGGAGTACCACCACCATACATGTCCCACCATGACACTGCTTCCATAGAACCCTTCTCAGCAATAGATGCAGAGAGGGCGAAAACCCCTCTTATTCCAAGGAAATCGCGAATTTGTTGCCGCACCCTTCCTCGTTCCATATCATCTGGAATCAGTACATCAAGGGTTGTGCGGTAACATGCAGAAACTTCTGAGTCCTGGTGGGGCTTCATCCTCCTTTCACCCCAGGTGCTGATGTAGCCAACCACTCTCGTGAATAATACTTAGGACTGAGAAGGAATGCCAAACAATGCAACGGAAGATTTGACCGGTCCCAAATGAGCCACGACTAACGTCTTCCTTTGAATAACACAAGATCATCATATAGAGCCAGTGCAATTTCCCCCAACATAGTATCCATGCGCTCGTATGCATCTCCCACGACAGCTCTGTCGCTATCAGCAAACTTTATTGTCTTCCATTGGCCTTGAAAAAGACAATATCAATTTATTCATCTTCCAAAATTCATCGTCCATGATAGTATCACGTATGATACCATGTTGGTTATCTGATGTGCCTCGTTTCAAACCTTCCTACTCATTACCCAACACTAAAGATGTCAAGGTGACTCTCACTTCCATCAATCTTCTTAGCATGATATAGTGATACCCGAACCTCGTCTTCTTAGCCTTAAGAAGTTCTAAATTAGAATGAGTCCGAAGAATGTACAGGCATCTTGTATGATTACAAATGTACTTTACCACTGCTTTTGCTTGCTTACAATGCTTGCGAACGAAAGCAAAAGATGGGTTTCTCTTATTTTTGTCAACAATATCCTTCATTAGCAGACTCAAAGTACGAGCCAAGCAACCCGACCAAAAAATGTGGGAATGACGACATTGAATTATAGTACCTGCGCCTTTGCAATTGGCCGCATTGTCGGTTACGACTTGAACCACATTATACGGTCCAATCGACTATATGGATTTTAAAAGGATATCGGCAATCACTTGACTAATCTTTTTCAACTGATGAACAATCAAAGCTATTAATGAACATGGCCTTCCCAGCTGATACAGCCATGACATTAATCAAAGACTCGTTCTTAATATTACTCCAACCATCAGATACAAGGGATATACCATAACTTCTCCACTCACTCCTAACCGCACCCAAAGCTAGATCGATCCTACTTCTCTCTTTGACATAGAGAATTAGTTTAAGTATGATGCTTTCTAAAAGTCACCACAATAAAAAAAAAAAAATGTAATTTCTGTTCTTTCATCCTTGCATAATCGC